TCCAGGGGCAAAGCTAGGAAACAGTCAACAAAACACCCTTTTACCTCCTCTCTCAATCACCCCACACACACACAGATTAACGCCACCTCTCACTTCGCCACGATCGAAGCACACAACTCACTCAAATTCATTGTCAAGTGACCATCCACCCTCGTGTCGATGCCGTCACCGTTCAATCATTCACCTCTCCAGCCTATTTCTATCACCTCTGCTCCCTCTCGCGGGAGCATAGCCTACGCGCGCTGTGTGTAATTACAAGGTGGTTTACTTACCTGAACCATCAAAAGCAACTCGGTTCGGTCAGTAGGAACAATCACGCACTTCTGTGGCCACAGCCCAGCAATTTGGCTGATTGCTAAGTTTAGTAGACTATCAGTGATTAATGACGGGCTTGGAGGTGGCAAGCAATTATTAACTGGGGAAGTCAAACGAAATAACGTTGTGACAAATAAGCTAAGCAAGCTTTAAAAAGTTGGCTCTTTTAAATTAGTCTTAAGCGAAATATCCACATGGGTATTAAGCACTGTAAAGCAGGGAGAAGAATCTGGTTTCGCCGCTCTTTTCGATCGGCCGTCCACACCGCGTGCCCCGTAGGCTTATCCCCATACGACAAGGTAAAAAAAAAGTGTAGCGACTTCTTTGTTTGCCGAATTATTTGGCCTTGTGGCCAGAGTAGTCGGAAGAACTCACAACTCAGACGAATATTTACACCGCCTGTAAAACAGTGACCTTTTCTCGGATAAGAGGTAGTCGGCCTGATTTTCAAAAAATAAATCGTAGTTCCAGCAACAAAAAAAAATAACCCAAACATCACAGCCAGCAACGAGACAGGCTGATGATGTGTGTCGCCAACATCCAGTCAATTAGCGTCACGCTGGTCCTGCGTGCGAACAAAAATTCGCGTTAAATGAAGTTAACGCACTTGTGGTTGTGGTATAGCAAATGCATTCACTGACATCGATGCCTATCGTCCTTTTCAGGAATAAGTCGTAATCGCATCGCCATTTAGCTTTGCCCAAAGCGGAATGGTCCACTAGTGCTGCGACGAAGGAGTGCGGTCTACCGATCTGAACACAGCAACCAAAATTGCAATTCACGTACAATCCACAGCAGATCAATGCTTGGGCTCGGCACTCCCAGATCTAGTGATCGTGGAAAGTATTTTTTTCCTCGTAGGGGACCACGCTAGAAAAGTCTTTGCTGATGATTGTGAGTTAAAGCCACTTACTTTAGGTGTACCGCCTATCTCAAATGACACAAACATTGCCAAGTGTTGCATTTGAAGACACTTCAACAACCTTTTAGAGGAGAATCAAACAAACTCACTGCTGAAGGGCACAAAGGGATCATCAGCGGCGTTGAGACAGAGAATGGGGACGCGTACGCGATCAATTTTGGTGGCAGGAGAGGCGTCAGCGTAGTACTCATCCACTGACTTGTAGCCAAACATGTCTACCGTCAGATTCTCGTCGAACTCACGGACAGAGCGACTCTAAAATGCGGACATCAGAGGTCAAAAAAATCCCACCTTATGCTGCTTATTTGAATTCAGCAATCGAGGCGAACGATCACTCAGCCTCTTTATTCCTCCGACAAGGTCCCCAATCCCAACAAGGCCAGATCGGTAGTGGATGGATCAACGCCTTGCCGATCGACTTAATGGGAGATGAAGTTCATCAGAAGGGCAAGACCACCGATAAGTGGCTTACACCAATGCCCCCCAAATTTATTAAAGAAATTGCCCATCTGAAAATATAGACAAATAAATCGTCGGCGAGAACACAAGATTTCTTTCCCGTTTCCATTTTGACACACAATTAGAGTTCTTTTTCTCTGGCGCCCATTTTTAAACCACGAACAGACACGACAGTTTTTCATAGTCCGTTCACGAGGGAGAAAACAGCGTACTTCCGCTTTGAACTCACTTTTAGGTAGTCAGAAGCGGTGGCGGACGGATGGAAGATGCGGGATTGGTGGGTGAATAGTTGCGCCTTCTTACCCGAAATTAGACCTTCATACAAACCATCGTTTACATAAAGTCACTACTAGTTTTATGGTCTCTAAAAAGCCACATCGGGGAGGAGCCGTGATTCATTTGCAGCAAACATCGACGGAGCAGTAAAAAGAAAGCACTACAAACGTCACTGCATCCAGGGTTGGGAGTCCCTTTAATGTTTCTCGTTATTGCGCACCAACTTTTCCATTAGTGTGCTTCGAATTTTAGTTGCCAGTGCAGGAGGTAGAATGAAGACCGCTTCAAAGCCTTGTAAAAACGCCTACACACCCTATTTCTGTACTCATTCCATTCCTTCCATGAGGTGGATGGAAGAAAGGACATCAGAGAAGCACAGAGAATGAAATCTCTCCTTCCCACGTTGATGAGAATGAAACACCTCAAACAAATGACAGGGTCGGTCAGCATGGAAGCGAGGATGGATGGCATACTGACATCGTGATAAAGCGTTGTGTACTGATGTGCACCCATGCCACGCAACACATCCATTCACTTTCTCTTGACCATATCCAATTTAAAGGTTATGGCATCTATTATATGTGTGCTGGACAATTTAGCCTCCAACTTATGGCCAATTTCAGTGAAGGATTCGGGATGCAGGGTGAATCAAAGACCTCATTGCTTCAAAATGTAATCCTTTCAGATCGCAGAAACACTGAACTGTTGGAGCAAATACAGCTTCAAGGAATAACACATTACTCATCTCTCCCATTCCTGCTCCTACACCCGCCAGTAAGGAGGTGGAGTGTTGTGTGATGGGAAGAGGAAGGCGAAGGCTTGCCACACAAGTTGTGCAAGAAGCACAGTGCCAACCTTGCCTAATGTCCCATATTCTCGTTCAACCTCCTTCTCGCAGGCTCACTTTTGGAGCACCACTTTAATCCCAACATGAAAGTCTCAGATTAAAAAGACTGTCTCGAAAGAAGAAATGAGGTAAGAGAGCCAAAACCATCCAGAGTGTCAAGAGGTGTCAAAGGTAAAAAAATAGCCTTCTAGCATCACTTCTCTTATGTTAAAGCACAACCAAGTTTTTCCACCTCCCTCAGCATTACAACACCAGTGAGTTATGTAAATAAAGGTGTCAT